GTAACATATACTGTATATATTTATTTATTTTACACTCTATTTTTTTTATTATTTTAAGAGCAGGTGAACAGCACACTGACTTGGAAAGACAGTGCTTTGCAACGAGCACGTAATGAACACGTAGCAGTCAGTTGTGGCCTTACATTAGCCCTGCAGCCCTATGGGCCCTGCATTACATGATGGTGTCAGCAGGCCTCTGACCGCAGGGGGGGAGAGTCTGCAGGCACCGGTCTTGGAGCCTGCGGGAACAGGGATCAGGTAAGTAAAAGTCCTTTACAGAATACCCCTAGACAAAAACAAACGACTAACCCTTGCAGTTTGGGGGTAGCCCCACTGCAAGGGTATCTTTTTTTAACCTAGTGAAAGACTTTATCTTTGCAAAGCGAATGCCCTCTACCCCTTTAGTAAGCCAACCTCACCGCCCATTAAGCAGGAAGTCCAAAGCTGAACCACAAAGTATGGTTGTCACCTGCCTGACTATCATTACTTGGAAGTGTGGAAAGAAAGCGCTGGACCCATGTGGTTATTCTCTTGGTGTTTTACATCCAACAGTAGTTAAGCGATGTGAATATTGGTTGATTTGGTTAACAGATAGGCAGCTTTTACAATCCAAACGATCACCACAGTATCCTTGGCTTGACAGTGAACTTGGCGGATGTAGGAATTAAAATAGTTCAGATAAAACTTTATACAATTGTTGCACTGTAAGTACGTCAGGTTTGTTAGCAGCTCATTTGACTTCCAAACCACCTACTGACACGCCTGAAGTACTTACAGTGCAACAAATACAACTTTGAACCTGCAGGGATTGTGGTCCAAATACACGATTTGTCTCATTAAAGACCCTTTCCACCTCTGTAAGTGATTAGCATTTACTGTGGTAATGTAGAGGTGCAGTGATGAGGATTATGTGTGTACATTTTCATGAGTCACATTGTTGGCTTTTTACATATTTATGGACTTTAGTAGGCCTCAGTCCTACAAATTGAATTTCTTTTCCACAGGAAACTCAGTTTGACACTACGGTCAGATTATAAAGCAGCGGACACCCTCCCTGCGAGTCATTGTAACAATATCACTGCACAACAGCTCTGCCTTTCCAGGTCACAATACACTTTTTCAGGGAGCTTGACACTATGTATGCTAATGAGTGGGGGGATAGAGCTCAGAGAGAGTGTTAATTTACATAGACTGCTTGTGGAGCACAGAGGCGGCCATTTCAAAAAGAGCCATGAAAAGGACAGCCAACAAAGAAAAGTTTCTGTGTTCACGTAAAGCAGCTTTTATGCCTGCTTCATGTAAACTCGTTGTACATTGCTGACATATATATTTTTAAAAATAATAATAATAATAAAGGTGGAAATGGGCTTTAAGCCCTGATAAAGGAGGGTGTGTTTTGGACCCCTGAAACACATTGGCATCTCTACTTGTCCCCTGACCCTAATAGAATAAAATTGTATCTGGACTATTTTAATTGGTGTGGCACTTCAATTCTTAAGCTGGCCATAGACCTATAGATTATCTGCAGATTTTCTATGGTCAGATGGAAAAAATGCAACAGATTCCTCCATCTACGCTACACTGTGTGGATGGAGGAACCTCCGGCTGGGCCAAGCTTCAGTATATTGCTAGTCGGCCCCGCTGACTGTCAAAATACCTGAACAATCTGATTGGATGCAGGCATTGTTCAGGTATTTTGAGGCCAACTAGCAAGATACTGAAGCTTGGCCCAGTGTGAGATTCCTCCATACACACAGTTTAGCGTAGATGGAGAAATCTGTTGCGCTTTTTCCATCTAATGATTGAAAATCTGCAGATAATCTATAGGTGTATGGCCAGCTTTAGACCTAGTGTGCTGACTATTCATTAGTCAAATGTGTGCAAATCAAAGACAAGCCGAGCAGAAGTACAAGGTGTCATAAACTGTTTTCCTGGAGTTCTACTTTATTATGTCAATTTGCTTAGCAGAAATGAGGGTCTGTTAATTTCTCATTATCACTTTACTTCAGTGTCACTTCAGCACTCAGTACGGCACCTTAGCCTGCTCACAGTAAAACTCCTTTCCTTTCCTTGTATGCAGATCCTTGAAAGGCGCTGTGTAAATTTGTCTTATTAAAGAATGCATGTCCTGCTACTTGCCACGTTGCAAAATATGCAAATACAGTTTGAGCAATGCAAAACCTGACAAGTTACAAAACCCATGTAAAAAAATAGGGAACATGTTGTACTGTAGATTAATTCACTTCCTGTATGAATTTGAATGCAAACGCGGATCCATTTACCGGCTTAAGCATTAAGTATATTTACACACTGCAGGTAAATCCACTGTACAGAGATACGTTTTTTATTGCTGTATACACAGTGCAATATCCTTTAAAGCCCTGAATACACAGGAAGCCATTTAAACGGGATGTATAGTATTTAAATTTTTCTCTTTTAGATAAACATGGAAAGAGATTAGCTTTGTGCAAATACACTTATCTATATGTGGTAATGTTTTTAAGCCTTGCTTCGATTTATATACTGTATGTACATGGGGGCAGCTATGTATATTCAATACATACACAAACTCCCCTTACTTCCTTACAGTGTTACACAATGGTTGTCCTTCACTGCTAATGGCTACTATCTAGTAACTGAAAGGCTGTATGCTCTGCAAATCACTGTGCAATTGTAGCATATAAATTAGTTAAAAAAAAAAGAAACATTCTATAAATGATACCATAAGCGTATCCTACAAGCATTTACAGCCTGTAGCCCGTTGAGCCAGCGCTTTTGACTAGAATGCTCCTAAAAACCACAATGGACCTTCCAAACAAAGAAGGTTTCTCAGTGTTATCCACAGCAATCCATTATTTCCCATAATATAGTATATTTTATATTACATCTATTTTCCTGCACCAACAACCCTGCGCCATGTAGTTCTCGATTAAGAAGTTTTGACACAGGGAACAGGATTAAAAGAGATGTTGACCTACACCCCTAAGACCTTAATATTAAACCCTCTCCTCACTCAGCTTCTAAAACATAATCATGTTCAAGTCATCTAGGGGAAGAGAAATAAGTTGCAATACTTACCTTATCCCTCGCTTCAGCAGGCTTTCAACACTCACCCCTTCACTCGGTGCTCCAGATTCTTGAGGACGAGTCCTCGCCATCCTCATACAGTGCGGGACTATTGGTCATGCATTGTACATGTTGATGTCAGAGTGCGTCCCCCGGCAGGAGTGCCTTAGAGAAGAAGATTCATGGGACTAGTTGCAGAGCATGGAGGAAGCCTGGCGCAGCGAGGAATAAAGTACATATTAAAGTTTCTTCCTCCATTTCTAGACTTAAGTTGTGTACACACAGTAATATTTTCTTTGTTCAAGCTGCGGGCTGAACAAAGAAAATATAACAGATTCCTCCATCCGTGCTAAAAATAGTGTGAATGGACGAATCTCTTGCTGTGAGCTTTGTATTCTGACAGCAAGCACCATTTGACTGAAGTTTATCCAACATGTTCCTTCAGCAAAAGTCAATCTAAAGAGTGACTTCTGCCAATGAAACAGTGTAAACATGGAGCAAATTTCCTGCTGAAATGTGCTCCTTTTGTACCCTACTTTAATGAGCATTTAACCCATGCAGTGTGGGAAGGCTCCACTGCAAGATATTTATTTTTGGCGCTCCAAGTGGGGTTTTACCCTAACACTTAAACATAATCCTTAACTTGTAGCCCTAACTTTACACTTAACTTAAACTGCAACCCCGTAAAACACCCAACTTCAACCAGAATCCTTAATTCCTGATCATTATATTAAAGGGCATCTATGGAAAAAAACTAATGATAAATATACATTTCTATAGTACTATATTAAACTACAACTTGGCTTCTGAACAATGCAACATCATCGCTTGATGGAAGCAATGCATGATGGGGTATGTAGTCTTGAGAAATCAAGAATGCATCACATCAAGCAAAAAAAACAGAAACACAAAATACACTGGGAATTCAGGAAGTTGGTGATAGTGATGGGCAGACAGAAGGCAGCACTCACTACATAAAAGGGATTTTTTCAAGTAAGCTTTGATTGCATTATCAAAAACAACTCTAGTATGTATTCCTATTACACTGCTGATGTTATAACAGGACATTATATGCTGTGACTTTGGAACTCCTTTAACCATAGCTTAGCCCCTTAACACTAATTTAACTCCATCCAATCCATTCTTTGTAATCACCAAAGGTATCTACACAGTCCTTGAACAACAACTGAAACCACCGATCCCTGCTTCATGATCAACATTCATGTTAGTGCCAAGATCACAGGATATCATACTATGCACATCACAATGGACAATAGCCATCCAACTTCTGCAGCTGCCTTTATACCCAAGCTTTTTCATATATTTAATTTTTCATGTGCCCATTGCAAAAACAACAAAAAAAACCCACTATATATCTCTTTGAGAGCATCCATAGAAGAAGATAAGGGATTGTGTGTGTCTACTTGTATGCCTAAGGTTTGTGATCATGGTGTCATTAGACAACTATGCTGCTATGGGTACCACCAACAGGTAATTGAGAGATTGAAAGAACACTGTGATAGTCACTTAAAGTCCCCACAATAAAATGAATTAGGCAAATCAAACATGTCTGTGGGACCAGCATGTTTCAAACATCCGAATTATGTTACTTGGTGATAACTTTAGTCAGCACACAGAGATGACGCCGTGCCATTGACACAGAAAAGCTGCTACATGGAAATTTCACTTACATTTTGTCTTCCAAACAGATTGTAGGGCCGACCACGCTGGCTGCTCCACTTATGATTTTAAAGGCAAAGTAATTGTCTGGACAGTTCTTCTCATTTCCACATTTGCTGTGTGTTTTTTCTGGTACTGCAGGGGAATAAAATCCATCAAATTCTACTAGATAATACAGTAGACATGTGCACTGCCAAAAAATTTGTTTCGTTTTAAATTCGGATTTGTGTTATTTCGTTTTTCGGGATTCGGGTGTGAAAGTCAATTCGGATTCGGAATTCGGATTCGGACGAAATTCGGTAGCGGTAGTTCGAACGTTCGTTTCGTTTTCTGTTCTTATTCGTTTCTTATTCGTTTCGTTCGTTTGCAGCAAAGTGACATTTGAGGGGGAAAAAATATTTTTCTCCTTTTCTAATGTCACTTTGCTCCAACGAACGAAACGAATATGAAACGAATAAGAAACGAATAAGAACAGAATACGAAACGATTGTTCGAACTACCGCTACCGAATTTCGGAAATGGAAATTCGGATTCGTTTGCATTCGTTATGTCTGTAAATCGGGATTCGGATACATCCGAATGTCCGAATTTCCGAAAATTCGTCCGAATTTCGATTCGGAACGAAACGAATCGTACAGGTCTATAATACAGCACAGCTTGCATATGTGAATTGCTCTAATAAGTGCTGGGTTAGCTGTTGGGAGTGGTATAGTGGTGCCCACAGACATTAAAGAACATCTGTCCAATCTAGCTATATACAGACAAACTTCATTTATTCTTACAAAGATTGCTTGCAAGAACGATTACTCAATGGGCAGATCAAACATGCACATGTGGGCACAATCTAATGCAATCATGGTCAATTCTCACAATATAGGGGGGCTTAAAGCTAAACTCCAATCAAGAGTAGATTTATCTAAATATTGTATATTGCTCAATAGCCACAAAGAATATAAATCATTTTTGTGTGCACCAAATGCCTTTGCAAATCCAGATATTACTCTATTAAAATCTCTGTGACATCATCACAGTGCTGAACATATCCTGTGCAAAGTGCAGAGCTGTGGAAGGGACCCAGCAGGCTCCCTGTAGAAAACTAAAGGGGGATCATGTGACCACTAAACCCTCAAATCACGGTCTGCTCCCTGCAGAGAGTAATGACCATCAGTCACCGCTCCCCTCTCTGTTCATTTAGCACTCATAGGAGGGACAGACAGGGGAGGGGCAGGCACAGCTGGCTCTGGCTCTATAGAGGCAGAGCCAACCGTCAATTAGGCAGCCAGGTGGATCCCATCAATATTGTGGGGATCCTTGCCGGCTGCAGCACAGCTCTGGCCTGTCAGCAAATAGCGAGCAATAGCCCACTATATGCTGACTTTGGGTCACAGGAGTACATTAGTGAATTAACTTCTATGATCAACTGTCTTATGTCTGTCTGATAACAGAGAATAATAACTGCAGTTTAGCAAGATAGCAAAAGAAAATGCAAAGTGACACCCCAGAACACGGCAGTTCATGGGTGTCATCACTTCTGTACAGAAAAATATTTTTTTTTTTAAGTTTAGCAGCTTTTAAAGATGTTTAAATAACCAATGCCATGAGGTACTAATGAGGATTGTCAAGTATAATAAAGTGTACTCACCAACTGCATCATCAGACCGCTTATCTGCACAAAAAGAGAAGAAATAAGGTGATTAGCTGTGCAGCAGTATAGGTTTGGAATTATTCACTATTTCTCTAAAAGCTACAGTACTTGTAAAGATGGTAAGCTGAACTGCATAAGAATGTGGAGAAAATGAATGCACTATATGGCCAAATGTTTGTGAACACTTGGCCATCACACCTATATAAGCTCTTTGGATCTCCCATTCCCAAACTACGAGCATTAATATGGGGACGTGTCCCCCTCTCCCTTTACAGCTATAACAGGCTTCACTATGAAGGCCCTTTCCACAAGATTTTGGACCGTGTCTGTGTACTCTTTCAGCTGAGCATTTGTGAAGTTAGAGACTGATGTTGGAGAAGACCAGTCCCTCAACCCGTGTTCCGATTCATACCAAAGGTGTTCAGTAGGGCTTAAGTCAGGGCTCTGTGCATGTTATTCAAGTTCATCCACACCAGACTCATCAAACCATGTCTTTATAAAACTGGCTTTGTGCATAGGGGCACAGTCATGCTGTAACAGTCTTCTCTACACTATTGCTATAAGGTTGGAAGTGCACAATTGCCTAAAATAGGTCTTTGTAGCATTAACTGTACCCTTCACTGGGAACACCTGAACTCACATAGTTGGTCTGATGGTCAGGTATCTACTTTTGGTCATCTAGTGTGAGCTGTGTAACAGGAAAGTAATCAGTTTAATTGCATAGCCCTTTTTTTTTTTCATTGTATACATGGTTTTGAAGCTACACGTTTTCACTCAAACTTTCACTACTCCAACTTTATCTTGCCTTTGATCTCTGCCACACTTCAGCAAGCATTACTTAAGTCACTGTAGCTTTGCTGACATAATGTCCTGTAATGGTAACATCAAGGCTGGATTTATGCATAGCCAACATATTCCATGGCCAAGACAGTGGGTCTATGGGTGGTGGCACATAGGTACTGAGAGTGACTATCAGTAACAGGTTACCATGTATAATGGAAGGTCCAGACCAATGCCCTGGTTGCTAGTGTGGCTGGGTCTTTACTGTTGCCGTTTCTTCACAGGTTGGGCATTGTTGTTGGTGCAATAGTTTACTGTGTGCCTAAAATACACAATTCTAGGTCCCTACAGGACTTTAGCAGAATAAAATGGCAGTTAAGCCCACCCTCCTAGCCCTAGATTCTAGATGTATTGATGCAGAGTGGGCAAACTGTCTTTTAGCCTTTCCCCCCTATAGACTTGGCATGCCTCTTGCAAATATGGCATCTGATAGTGTTAGATACTATGACTATGTAGTCATATGGGGTAGAGATGGCACAAGACAGTTGGTCTGGGGGAAGGAGGGGGACAGAAATGGATATTCAGTCACGGTTACCTTTATTATTTGGCTCAAATTAACCTTCAGTTAGTAACGTATTTGAACATTCTTTTTGGAGTCCAATACTTTTACAAAGGAAATTGAATATTCCTATGCACCCCAACCTTCGGAACACAGAAATTGTGAATGTCCCTTCCCACAAGAAAAGAGGGTCCAGTTACATGATTTATTCCCACCCTTTCTTTTAGGTCTAGATATTTTGATTTAAATGTCACAGGTAGATGCAGTCAAAAGTACAAATGATCCTGCATATACTGACCATGGGGGTTATGCTATATTGTTATTGAAGAGGGTTTACCACATTTTAATCCACCAAGAAAGAGAATTATGTCAGAAGCAGCTCTGATATTTCCTCTAGGGATGGAAAACCACACCATTCAAAAACTCAGTATCGTGAATTCTACTTGAAAGCATTGTGTGGTAATAAAAAAGTTTGCACACATCTGACATGAAAAAGCAGACACCTTGTCTAATTTCTGGTCTCAACAGCATTGAAAGTCCTCTTCCCATCCCTTGATGAGGTTTCAATTAAATATGTAAATGTACAGTGAGTCAGCATTCTTTTTGATTGGTGGATATAGGATTGACTACAATTGTTTGTACTTGCTCCTATAGATTAGATTTCAGTTGTGATTTTCTTTCATTATCTAAGCTGGACCCTTCTTACCATATTGTCTTGGCTTGTATTGTAATTGTGATGTCCTACTTATATTGTAAAGCACTGCGCAAACTTTTGGCGCTATATAAATCCTGTATTATAATAAGCTAAAATCTGTCAGCTGGCAAACAGTATGAAGAAACAACTTCCCTTGTGCCATGGCACCCATCACTTTTCTTCTTCCATTCTCCCATACTCCAGTGAGAGAGAGATTCTGATTGGTTAAAACAGCCAACAAATAAAGAACAACCTTTTAGCACTTTGATAAATAAGGTCCAACACAAACGTTTCAAATTTGCTGCTTACCAAATATATGCCGTAGACTCTTTACTTCCCATTTTGCGGAAAAAATTGTTTCTGCAAAGTACCACGTTGTCAGGAGCGTGAACAGAATCACCAGGATCCTTACAATACCTGCATATGGGGGGAAACATATCAGTTAACCACAGGCTGTGCATTTATGAAGATATTTAACATCGGCAGAAAGAGTGGGAGAGACAGCAATTCAGACTGAACTTTACATAGCTGAGAACCGTGTTTTATGTCATCACCCATCATTCTTTCTCTATCTACTCAGCATGGCTAATTTAACACAAATAATGCGGCTGCTACACTGCAGGAAAAGCCAGGATGACAATTTTGTCTATTTTACTACTGTGATGACTTACAGTATGAATACTAATATTATATTGCTTTGTTGTAGCGGCATATCAATTTTACACATCTTAAAAAGGGCAAATATGTTCTTCTGAGCAAATCTGAAAAGATCATAAGGGGAGAAGCTCAGTGAACTACACTGATTTACACTCAGCAGCTGCTGTAATTAAGAATTTCAAACATGTGTGTGTGTGTGTATATATATATATATACACACACACATCTATCTATCTATCTATCTATCTATCTATCTATA